GGCCATTTACGGTTACAGTTTATGGTAATAAACAGATCCAGTTGACTGATGTACCAGAATATGGCCACAGCATCATGGTAGAGCTGTTGCATGGCCCTAGGACTGCCACCAACGGACAATGGCAGAATAATACTATTACCAATGTGCACAGAGTCAGAGGCTTTCACACTACTGCTGACTATGTGATCTGTCAACCTCTGTATGATCTCCATATGCAGTTGGTTCTGGTTGAAGTGCAAACAAGTGAGACACTGAGACTCCACTTTCAAGTAAGTATCGATTATACAGTGCTGCGTGAGACCATCTGATGCTCGTTCATACAACAGTTGTAGACAATAGCTATATTACTGTTGAGCCGAAAGATTTTTTCAAGAGTTCACCGTTTGACGCAGCACGCAAGACCACCCGAGATCACCTCCGGGAAACAGTAACGGGATCAATATCTGGGTCACTGTGTGCCAAGTTATTTGAAATAAAATTGGCCTCCAGTTCATGCTTTGGATACAATCTTACATCTGTTTTATCTGCCACACTACCATCTTTGGACACGATTATAGCTGCCAAGTCACTGCAAGTCAGGGCATTAGACATACGTCAGTCGTTTGTTCTCAGTTGCACAAAATTTAGATACATGCTCTCACCATGACCCGGAACCTATGTTTCATACAGATTTTTGTAGTTTCTCGCATATGGATTAGTGGCCATTACAAAGTTCATTAAGGCCAGAATTTCCTGCTTCATTGTGCTGTTTAACCACTACTGAAAGGCCTCACTTATCAAAAATATAGCCCTGAACATACCTGGGAATTATAGACTCAGATAGCAAACTCGTAGTAGCTCAAAGTAAGGCTTCCCCTATGACTCTCAGGGCATACTGTCCCTGTCTTGTAATATCAGTGTTTTTGGTGTTAAATGATGCCAAAGCATAAGCACCACGGTTCATGTGAATACTGTTGCAAGAATGAATACCAAGAGCATCTGCTTGCAATAATAATTGCCATAGCTCGTCTGGACAAGCAGTAAGAGGAGGAAGCCATACCTTACCATCATGACAGCAGCTATGCAATGTTCATCCACTCTCTTAATGCCAGAGCTCCACAAAATTCACTGCAAACTTCCATGTTCCCAATACTGAAGATTTCAACAGGTTCAAGCAAATTACACACCAAGCCAATGAAACAATTTTGTCTATGCTCATGTACAGTCTGCCTCCTCTGCCTTCCAGTAGCACGCCATTCAGCCACTTCATCTTCGCTCAAATTTTCTACACGTCGTTCCCGTTCATGCTACATGTACTCTTCACTCAAGTTTTCCGTCCGCCTTCTTGTCAAAACTTGTTCTTTATGCCTCTGCTGCCACATTTATCGTTGTTCTCTGCTGTTCTCTTCGTTCTTCCTCCATTAAATTAAGACAATTTCTCCCTCTTGTACTCTCCACCCAGTCTTCATTCGTTACATCCAATGACACTGCTTCTACAGAAATGTTATCATATCTTTCAATTCAATAAACAGTCTGTATATGTCATTCTATTGCACAGCAAATACACACACACACACACACACACACACACACACACACACACACACACACACACAAACACCATTCGCACCAAATACACACACACACACACACACACACACACACACACACACACACACACACACAGAAACTCCAATAGTCCGGCATCCAATTGTATGGCACTCCCAATAGTCTGGCATCAAAATGGCAAGAGCCTAGTGAGTGAGCTTCGGCAAAAAATGAGTCACAAGGCAGCAGCAGTAACCATCTTATAGTACCTCCTGATAGTCAGGCATATCCAATAATCCGCCACCACCTGAGTCCCAAAGGTTCCTGATTATCAGAAGTCTAGTGTGTGTGTGTGTGTGTGTGTGTGTGTGTGTGTGTGTGTGTGTGTGCACACACACACACACACACACGAGATAATATTTTGTGATTCTCAATATCTACTGTAAATAAATAATTTTGATCTTTCCACTGTTAGCCTCCAATAATTTTCCATAACTGTAAACATTGAAATAAATAAAAACATTTTAAATTAAAAAGATTAAAATCAAATTCTGCCAAGCCTACATATATAAAAAATTTCTGCATGGGAATTTTAACTTGTAATCTATAATTAGAGAATGCATCAGACCAACCAAATAATTTTCCAATACAGCAGAAATCAATTTCAACATGACCACTTGAACCAGAATCCACTAACATATTTTGACTTTTGTTTGAAATATCTTAATATTGTTCTGTATTTAGAACTTTATACAATAATCTGGCATGTTATTTTTTACTGAAAAGTGAGGCTCATCTGAATTCCTTGGATACAGTTTTCAAAGAGTGTTGCTCTCTTCATCCATGTAATGGTCAATTTTGAGGTCAATTTCCATTGTTAAAAAGAAACTGATGTCAGGGAGTCCAGTAACAGTGCACATTGTCTATTTACACTATTTATATCAGTCCCATTATTCTTAAACCAAAATAGACGTAATCACACAAAAGAAAGCCATGGTCAGTGACACCGAGAGGCCAGCAAGAACAATTATTATCCCTGTCCCTCCACTTCTCCAACTATCCTCAAATGCCACAAAAACTTTCCCTCTCTTGGCTGAGCTAAGGACTTTGAGTTTGACCATGAGATGCACATCAACAAATTCACCACTAGAAGATTAATTGCACTATCTGCTGATCTATTACTGCTCTGCAGATGCATTATAGCATACTAGATGTATAGAAATGAAAGATCTATTTCTCCGTTAAGAAATTCAATTTTGTTTCGTTCTCAATTTCAAAATACAAACATTGTCTTTCCTATAAATACAAAACTGGAAAAATAACCTATTTTCCTATTCAAATGACACACCAAAGTCCTAAATTCTCCCAACAAGCTAGCATTCTATTTCAATCCCCATTAAAGATAGAGTTGCTCCTAAACCAAGAGTGTAGTTGTGATACAGAGAGGTTTAAGTTAATTTCTGAGTTCCATAATTATGCATAATTTTTTTATTTACATCAGCTATAAGAATCTCATAGAATACCTTGACCAAAAATTGCAAGTAATTATTATAAACAGGATTCAAATCAAATTAACACCAAAACCACAGAATATAGTCTGTTCATCAATAGTGTATCATATAATTGTGTATTATAAAAAATATATTTTATTTTTAAGAAAAACGCAGCTATCGTGTGAGTGCTTTTAAAACATTCAAGCCACTTTCTTTCATTACAGAAAACCATGTAATATGCTAAAAACTGTACAATTAAGAGATCAACACTAAACAATCTTAACCTGCAATCATATCAGAGGACATGCATCACTGAGTTCCACTGATTTTAAAGGGTAAAAGCAGAACCAGTTGCAGCCTTTATATTTATATACATATATATACACATTTCTAACATCAGTGAATTATCACCCATATGTGAACATTTCGTACACAATGCATGACCATTTAAATCAGGTTTTATATTATATATTACCACAAAACTTCTCAGATATTCAAATTAAATGAAAAAATTCTTAATTTTGAAAGAAAAATATCCATCTACAGCACCTTGGACTTAATCCAGTTTGCTGTATGTAAACACATCCAGTGAAGTAATTTGTGCATGAAGGATTTATGCAACTAAAGACTGTCAAACAAAAAATGTTCTGGCTGCATACATCTATAATATAGTCATCTATCCTTTTCTCTCAATTAAGTATAAACGAGTTTTAAAGTGAAACAAACAAATGACAAAGACTAGCCATGTGTTTTTCCATCTCTTGATTGCTTATATCCCAAAGCAGTGTTCCCTCTAAGCTGTGCTCTCTGAATGAGCTGGCTGACTGACTGGGCAGGGCTGATTAATCACCTGTGAAGCTGTGCTGCTGCACAGTTTAGAGAGAACACTGTCTCAAAACCTCTATTGTTACAGCCTTAGCTGTCTACTATTATTACAGGTTGAATTTCTCTAGTGTGACATCCTCGGGATCTGACTGATGCCAATTCATAGAATTTGCTGGACCACGGGAGGTCAATATTGTCTAGCAACATTACCAACACTACCATAGCTTACTAGGCACTTGGAAGACCTTTAGGGGTAAATGGGAGATAAATAACACAGAACACAGAGCCAGGACTAGTCACTTTAAAAAAATGTTATGGACCACAGAAAACTTGGCCACACCCATGATAAGTGGAGATGCGGCTAACTAAAATCATGCCAGACCAGGGATGTTGCCATACTAGAGTGCTAGACTAGAGAGGTTCAATCTGTATACCTTATATAAATGCAGATCTATCTGTTAAAAATCAGAACTTTTCACATAGTTATGTTAGCATATAGTCATGTAAACTATTAACCGATAAGCCTGGGCTTATCAATTAATCCTATTAACTATACGCACTTCCCCACCCACTTTGCTGCCTCTATATCATAGGCTTCAAGTGGAAGGGGGAGAGGGGGGAGCCAGCTTTTAAGCCAGCTTCCCGAGAGCACCCCCTCCCACAGAGCCACCTGCTTCCCCCCTTTCTGCTTCCAACAGGCGGGGAGGAGGCAGGCACCACACACACCCCCACTCGCACTGCTGCCTCTGTATATACAAGTAATTATAGAACACAACTGGAAATCTGTAACTGAGAAATATATAAAAGGAAGAATACTCACTAAGGGAAAAAAAAAACTTAAAATAATACAATATGCTTTCCCAGCACTGACTTCCCAGCCATTTATTTAGAGAAAACAGGAAAAGAATCTATTTATATACAGGAAAACTGTTTTCCTACTAGAAACTTCAAAGATAAATTACTAAACAGTAATTTCCAAATTATCAAAGGTGTTTCAATGGTTTTTAATGTTTTTGTAAATATGTTTTATGAAGGTTGTAATGACACGGGGGGGGGCATTGGGGGGAGCGGGGAGAAGGAAACCGCAAAGAAAGTACATCATCAAAATAACAATAAAGATCTTTCTTTCTACAGGAATTTCAAAACTAGGATCACCTGTATGCATCGTCTTCTTTCAAGTCTCATATCATCCTGTGGGGTGTGGGTGGCAGGGGAGATTCCAGCAGCAAAACACAATACTGTAAAAATGAAGAAAAACAGATTAGAAGAGGCAAAAATACAAGATGAAATTACCCCGATAATCCATTTTTAATAAAAGATCTGAGACTTGAAAATCCTTGGGGATGGAACGGTCTTTTTGTTATGTGTGTGTATTGTGCCTAGCATAATGGAGCCCTAGTCACTGGTCATGGCCTCTAAATGCTAGTGCAGGACAAATGCAACTTAAAAAAAAACCCAGTATGTTTACAGAGAAGGCAAAAGTATCTAGCTGTTACTGTATAAAAAACTTGATATCAGAACACCTGGATTCTCTTCCCAACTCTCAGTAACAAATCCAACCACTTTCAGAGATGTTGCTTAACCTCCATTTCTCACCTATAATTCAGCACCACTGAACAATCATATCCTTAGCTAATCTGTACTTCAGTGAAAACTTCAGTCTTGGTATGGATATATACATACATACATACAAAGAAAACTGAAGTTTTCACTTCATGCATCTGACAGTGTAGGCTCCAGCCCATGAAAGCTTATGCCCAACTACATTTGTTAGTACACCATAGGGCACCACAGGACTCCTTGTCATTTTATCTCAGGCAGTGCTTGAATACTGATTGGTGTTTTCAGAGTATGCAACACAGAATTAAAATTAACTTTCTCGCCTGAAATCTGAGTAATACAGACTTTGCAGATCAAAACAATTAACTAGTTAAGTAATTTAAAAGAAAAGACTAACAAGGCCATCCCTCTGTAATAATTTTCTTATTAAGAAAACTAAGCCTATTAATTTTTATCATAACTTACATTTCTACTCTTTGCTCAATTTATAAATTCCCAGTCCACAAGTGGAAAAATGCTCATGTTTCCTACATATACAGCAACTCTTACATCACAAGCTTTGTGAAATTTGAAATCATTCAGAAGAATTCAACAAAACAGCAAATTCACATTATGGTTGTGCTCAAGTTCTTAAAGAAAATAAACATGTCTCATTCTGAAGCACAGAGTTGGGTGGCAAATCAGTGAAAGTTCAATAAGGAATCGTTTCTTTTCATAAAGACAAGCGAGAATGAGACACCCAAATGGACTTGCACACACTGCTCACTACCATGACACATGAAAATATACTGATGGGCTCTAAACTAGTACCAATGACCAAATAAAGAAACTTTAAAGTCCTCATCAATAGCTGAGTGAAGGTGCTTGTCCTATGTATAGTGTCATTTATAAAAAAGTTAAAAACAGTGCTTGGAAGAATTAAAATAAGAGAAAATATGATCTACTGAATAATTTAAGTCCATGATCGGAAGTGCTAGGACCAACTCTGTATGCTACACTACAAGGGATCATGGTCTCATGAGTAACAGGACTGTGAAATAAAAGAGTTTTAGGTCGTACTGATCAATCTCTCCTCTGTCCCATAATCTAAGAAAAAGTAAACTTAATAAAATATAACATCAAGTAAAATTTAGGAGTAAAATTTAGGAGTTCCAAATGTGAAAAAGTGTTCCAAGTGATACATAACTGATTCTGTCACAGTGGTGAACAGACTGTTCATACACAAGCTGTTACCTATTAATTGCAGACCATTCCAGGACCTTTCTACACTATTTAATAATCACATCCCTCTATGAATCCTGGATGGCTACATGTGTTTTTGTGAGGAGTGTGACAAGACTCAGTCAGGATCAAATTTGCAAATAATGTCAGATTAGTAGTCTCTCTCTCATACATTAAAATTCTAAAGCAATCCAGAGTAGGGATGATAACTATCATTTATTTGTGTAAACGTGTAACTGCTGGAAATTCTAGCAGGTGTCAAGTTTACATATGGGGGTGGGAAGGCGGCAGGCAGGAACCAGTGCTCGGGCTACTCTCCCCTTCCCCTCCCTCTCGCTCTAATAAAGACACAGCAGTGCAGGGGGCAGGAGCCAATATGCATGGAGAGCCGGCTTGAAAGCTGCTTCCTGTCTGTACTGGTTCAAGCATACCTCATAATCACCTCCTGTACTACTTCCTCTCTATCAGAGAGTCAGGAGCCAGTGCTCATGGGGAGCCACGCTTTTTAAGACAGCTCCCCGCAGCACCGGCTCCTGAATGCCCACCCCCTTCACTGCTGCCCTCTGTGGGAAGAGATGAGGGGGTCATGTGGCTCCATTGAGCTGACTCTCCTCTGCCCCTCCATTGCAGGCATCTCTGCAGAGGAAGCTCCTGACTGTCTCCCCATGCTGCTGCCTCTGTGGGAGGCAAGGGGGCAGGCGGTTCTGGGACAGCCAGCTCCTACCTCTGCCCCCCCCTTTGCTGCCTTGGATACAGAGGCAGCAAGGGGGGGTTGCATGCAGTCAATATGAGTCATTCAGACTCTTATCTGCCAATTTAATTACAGTTGCTGCTTCCTATGTAAAGCTAAATAAATAATTGAATTTTTTTTCCAGATTTTTTCCCTTTGGTCACCAAAACAAACAGAAAAATTCAAATTAACGCTGATTTTCAAAATATTTCTCAGCAGGTTGAAAAAGAAACAAAAAAAGGATTTAGGAAGTGTTCAGTTCCAAACAAAAAGCGAGTTCAACATAAAAAGCCAAAAGCATCCAATTCACAAAATGTTGAATCTCTTCATTTCAACAATTCCCGAAGATGTATACTTAAGTTTTTGCAGTTTACTTTATTTTGATTTCTTTAGCCAAAACTATTTGCCAAATTCAACCTGCATTTGAATAGCTTCAATGTCTCCCCCAGCCTTCAGTGTTTGGAGTTTTTCCAGCAAATTTACAATTCACAAAAAAAAAAAAAAAAAAAAAACAAAATCACCCATATCTATTCTAATCTCCACAACATACACAGTGCTCCTCTACAATCCATTAAAAATATAGCTGATTGGTAAGGAAGGTGAGCCTGTCACTCTGACTGCATCACTCCCATCTCAAATCTCCCCACTATTCCTTTCTCCACCACAGTAAACGCAATTTGGGGCTCATTTTTCCTACAAAATGTTTACTCAATTTTCTTAGGGGCTCCTGAACACAATTCATCCTAGGATATACTATTATAAGACTGTGGTTAACATCATGTTACCTATTGTTCACAACCACATGCAAAAACCGATAACATTCTAGAATGGAAACGCACCTAAACTGTCTCTGCCCCAACCCAATGAACGATACCAGCTTTCACTTACCTACTTCTCAGCATCTCTCTAAATGATTTCTTCCACATTGCTCAACACCATTAATTAAAAACAAGAACCCTCTCCTCCTTTGAAACCTTCCTAAGAATATACCTCTGCTGTGACTTCTATTAGAAATCAGCTAACCAACAACAGGTACAGTAAAACTCCATAAGTCCAGCATCCAATTCTCCGGCACTCCAGATGGTCTGACACCATCGGGAAACCGGAAGTGCTCTGGGCAGTCAGACAATTGGAGCTGCTCTGCATCCAGCTTCCCCGATTCAGCCGCTGCTGAAACTGACCAGCAGCAGAATCAGGGAAGGCAGGGGCAGAGCAGCCGGGGTGCTGCTGTGTTGGTCCCGTAGCGTCGCCCCTCGGCGCTGCGGGACTAACCCGGCAGCACCCCAGATACTCTGCTCCGCTCCACTTCCCCAGGTCCACAGCTGGTCAGTTTCAGCAGCAGCAGCGGACTTCAGGAAGCGGCACAGAGCAGCTCCAATTGTCCGGCTGGCCGGAGCACTTCCGGGTTCCAGTTGGTGCCAGACCACTGGATGCTGGACAATTGGAGTTTTACTGTACTGTATTTTCCTTTTCTGGGACCTCATGTGTCCTCTCTAAGTTCTCAGAATCACAATTGGTTTCAAGATTGCTTCCACTAATACCCTAAGTTCCTTTGGGCGAATTTCATTTTCATCAGGCCCTGCTGACACGAATACCTCTAATTTTCCTAATTATTCATTCATCTGTTTTTCCCTATTCTGGCTTGTGTTCCTTTCCCCTTGTTAATATTGTTTTAAGCATCTGGCCATAACTAGCCTTTTTATTGATGGGATGACCAATTTTTTTAAAAAATAGAAGTAAAATTATTTGGAACCATTAAGTTGTGCAATGCTATGATGTCATTTTTATTACCCTTAGTCTTCATCCCTCCTTGCACCAAATTTGACATACAAATAAAAGAACTTAATCGCATTGGGTCCCAAACAAAACTGAGCTTATGAGAGAGGGACCTTTTCTTATTACATCTGAGTATAATTGAATACCCATCCTGACTGAGGCCTCTAGGCACTAACAGAAAAATAATTTTAAAAGTCCATATTTCATAATTTTAAATGTTTGTGTACGGAGTAAAAGGCAGTTGACTGTTCTTCAATGTGTTGTCCCCCCCCACCCACCGTGGGTCCTTCACTGTTGGTGACAGGTTGTCCTGTTTTCAGTTGGGCTGCACATGCACAAAAAGCACCTCACAGCATTCACACTCTGGCGCCTCGCACATGTGGCCAAGACTACACCCGAGTAGCCAAGACTCCGAGCAGAGGGGAGAAAAGCAGGGTCAGGGAACACCCATGGAGACACAAATCTCCAAGAAATTGTTACTGTACAGGGTACGTTCCTTTTCTTCTTTGAATGTTGTCCGTTGGGCTGCACATGCACAAAAAGCACCTCACAGCATTCACACTCTGGCGCCTCGCACATGTGGCCAAGACTACACCCGAGTAGCCAAGACTCCGAGCAGAGGGGAGAAAAGCAGGGTCAGGGAACACCCATGGAGACACAAATCTCCAAGAAATTGTTACTGTACAGGGTACGTTCCTTTTCTTCTTTGAATGTTGTCCCCATGGGTGCTCCACTGTTGGGGACGACAAAGCAGTACTCGACATGGATGGTGGGACTCAGCCACTGCTTGGTGACTAAAGGCAGGACCACTGTATCCACTGTTATATCAGCTGCCAGCTGAAGAACAACAGCATACTGCCTGGCAAAGGTGTGGCTGGATGACCAAGAACCTGCCCGATAAATGTCTTTAAGGGCCATGTTGTTCAGGAAAGCCGTAGAAGTTGCAGTAGC